GATGAGGGCGAGAAGACTGAGAGCCTTGGTCGCGCATGACTGCACTTCCTCGTTGTTCTGTACGTCTGAGGCGAGCGCTTCGCCCAGCAACACGACGGTGCGCTGAAGCCAACCCTCATGCCCATACCGAACAGGTGCACCGGGGTCGCGGTTTGGAAAATCCTCCGCGATCACGGACGCAGGCATAAAGATGTCGACGACGGCCTTATCCAAGATGCTCTCCCGCATCGCGACGATAGGATCGTCCCCGCCAATGATTTCCTCGGAAAGCGAGCCCAGGGCAGACAACACAAGCTCCTTGTGGACACCGAAGCCGGGCAATTGCCATAGCTGGACTAGCATAGCATCCATGTCCATCCACTCTGCTCCCCAGCACCTCTTTGCGACTTCGACCCATAGCTGCGCGATCTTGTTCCTGATGTACTGTGGGTCATCCCTTGACACGTGTTGAGCCAACTCCAGGACCCATCCCCTCAAGCAGGCGGCCTCTTCAGGTCCATAATCACCCCATCTATGTATGATGGAGTGTTCGAGGAGAGAAAGGCCGTAGTACCGAACGATAGGCGACTGCGACTTTTCCAGCGCAAGTGTGAAGCCGTGCGACGGCCCTTCCTTGAGGGACTTGACACCTTCGAGGTACGACTGGGCTTCGTTGCGAGATTGATTCGAGGAACGAGGGTTGTAGACGACGTCGAGGGCGCCGAGGATTCTGGGGACAATATCCCCGCTGGCCTGGCCTGGTGCGGTCCCATTGGCACCGCCAGAGGCGAAACCGCCGTTCATGTGCAGAGTCGCCATTTCTGACCCTCTGGCGGTTGGGTTCGAAGAAGTGTTGCTTTAGATCGCCAAGCGTATGCGAGATCGTATGCGAGGTTCGAGTAGAACAGGCAGGGCTAGTCCATGGCAGGGAAATGCTGGGAAGGAGGCAGGACGGTGGTGAGGAACAGCTGACCTCGGGACGCAGGGCAACGAAATTGGATGTAGATGCCTCCTTAGTCACAGGTCGCCAGAGATAGGGAGAAAGAACGAGGAACTCGGTCAATTTCTGAAGTGAAGTGCAGGAGGATTTCAAGGCTAGTTCGAATGCGAGTAAGTGGTGGTGGTGGTTGCTAAGTTCAAGAAATAAGAATATGCGAGTCTTGGGTTGTTGGCATTTGCGTCAAGCTTGGAAGCTTAAGGTCTGCCCAGACGGTTGGGTACAAAATGTGAGGTAGAGCTGGGCGCGCGCCGAAAGCGTGTCTTACAGTAGTGGGCCTGCCCGAAGTCTGGTCCGTAGTCCGCCTGGCCGTCCACTCTTGACGTGACATCGCCGTTGCAGGGACCAGTTGAGGACGGCAGGCGGGTCCCGAGGTCTAGCTGGCCCCCACTCCAGGGCTCACACCTGGGGGCACCACCTGGGCAGACCCGGATAGCCCTGGAGGGAGTTCTTGATTGAGCCCCTACAGAGAGAATACACCATTCCTTCCAGCCTTCTAGAAGACCCGTGGACTACTTGGGTACTTCCCAAGCCTCAAGTGACTCGTCATACCCGATCCCTGTTAGTCGATACAGTAATCGGCCTTTTGATCCGCATTGTCGGAAGTTCTGAGACAACCACGACGCCTTATCAACTCACTAACCTCCTGCCTGTTTCCGAGCCATTCATGAGTACTGCGATACTACACGTCCATACATCTCATGGGATCTCTAGTTCGGCACAGTATTGAGATTGTATAGTTATGTATCCGTCATAGCTGACGTATGCAGTATTTGTCTTGCGGTCGAAGAAATCATTCAATGCTGGCTTCCAATCCATTGATAATGATTCCTCGCTTTTTCAAATGTTCCTTATTACTAAATTTATATTCCTCCATAACCCAAGCGCAGTAACTTGCTATTTGTCCTGCTCAATGTCCATCGCAATGCCATCGCATAGGTCATATCAGGAACATGCCGATGCCAAAAACCTCTGGAGTATACTTTAAGTCTACACAAGGCATTATGCCAAGAAGCCCCGGGGAGGCATGGCAAATTGGTGCCGTTGGATTTAGTAACCCCTAGTGAGACGGTTATTCCAAAGGAAGGTTATTCGGAATAATCATAGCCTACACTGACTATGTGTCAATACTCTCTCGTTGGACCCATGATTTCAGAGAGCGGGTTCGGTATGCCATGCTGCTGGCGCCCGGGCGTCCGGCATTCAACACCAAGCGGGCACCCATGAGTGATGAGGATTTCCGTAGCCTTCCTTGGCTCTTCCTGAAGGAAGAAGAAACTCGAAATACGCACACCACGAAAGACCTCCATCGTGTATAGTGATGGACTGGCAAACAAAAAAACACCCCGTGGGCTCCTTCAAGGGAGTCCACGGTCACGAAAAGCCCAAAGAGACTTTTTGATGGTTCTTCATCCTACGATTGAACCCCTGGCCTTGAGGCTAAGAGTGGTAAGGGTGGGTAGTTAGCTGTAGAGGTTCCTTGGTGGTGTAGTGTGGCCACTACACCAGCTCACCTCTACGGTTAAAGTGATGGTCGCATAGTGGTGTTTATAAGGGGGGGGGGGGGAGTTGGGTGGTGTAAAGTTCTTCTGATTTGCCATGAACACCTAGATACCTAGGTATTTAGTTCCAGCTGCCCAGGTGGCAGTTGTAAACGCTCAAGTACGCATGATGCACCTTCACCATAACGCAAGATTGAGCCTTTCGTTTCTCGGAAGACTTATAGCTTACAATGTTTCACCAGTGTGCTGAAGCGTGCCTGGGTCGCGTGCCACCTTATGTCCATACATACTTACCACCGTAGCGACGACCCATTACACGGTGACCTCGTGCTTCCAGCTTGAACCTTGGTGCAGCACCCATTGCCTGCCTTGATGGGCTGGTTTCGAAGTCATTAAAATAGTTGGGTGAATGTTGGGTGTCCTGATGAGTGAGGTAAGGTTGGTTTTATAGAGGATTGGAAGATATTTATCTAATATATCAATTTACACATAGCAGGTACGGGCCTCTTAAATCCCCGACCTCTGTGAATCAGCCTTCCTTAAGACATTCGAGCTGCTAGTACTGCATAAGATAATTTCTGGACGCTGTCTTGGGAAGCTCAACGTAAGTGTTATAGACCTGAGATTACAGCCCACCTTGTTGACACTTCTTGCTAGGTACATATATATATATATATATAGGTAGCTTAATCCAAAATTTGTTTTATTGGGTGTTAGTTGGGCGGAAACATTAAGCTAACACGTAGTAGGCAGTCAGTGGCTGCTTTCTTTTATACTTAGTACGTAATGAACGCTGAGCCTCTTGGCGACCTCGGGACTTGATCCCCCTAAAATCATTGTCGCCGTTCCGATGCTCAATGATGAAGCCCTCACATCACATACTGATCATTAACGTGCCCACCTCGGAATCTCGCGCACTAGATAGCTAGACCGGCTGAGAATCCATTCCACTGCACCTCGCCCGCCTGCAGGGTAGAAAGGAATACAAAACAAGAAACACTATTTCGTTTCGAGCATTACTCGATGAATCCTTCTGGCTTCCAAGCACAGATGGCACCTGGGCCACCCCCGCTCTTTCCTTGCTCAGTCCGAGTTCTTCACTGGGCCCTCCGCAGTGACAATCCTTCGCTGATCTGCCGGCGAGAAAAGTGCTGTGCCCTGGGACAAGGCGTTGATGAGAATCGGAATGGCGTCGTTCTTGAAGTCGTCTGCGTTGCGGATCTTGTCCAGGTCCTCAGCGAATTCTTTGGTGGCCTGCTGCAGGTAGTACGAGGTGAACGCGGAGGACACCTCTTGGTCGCTCAACTGCTTTACTTTCGAGTCGCTCATCTTCAGGTTGTTTGCGGGAAAGCGTATGATTTAATGGTGTGAGTATGCGTAATTCTTTTTGCTTCTGGGAGGGCCTTTAGGAGCTTTGACTGTCAATGTTGCTCGACACCGCGCTGTAGAAAATTTTGGCGAGGTGTCCAGGTGAAGCTCTTGAATCAGGTCTGGAACCCCTTTTCTGCCGCCCTTGTTCTACGCTACCACTTCGGGCCCCAACTTTTGACCAAACCACATTTACACCCAGTAGCAGTCATCAGATAGGAAACGGACAGACGAAAGTATTTGTTTACCTCCGATTGTAGTACATGATCTCTAGATCCCATACCTAATGGCGAATGTCTTTTATGGACAGAATCAACAAGGCCGGAATGCATAAGAGACTGGCTGCTCAACATCTATACTCATGCCCTATGCTGCTATGGCCCAACCACCAGATAGATACTCACGTATTATCTACAGACCAGTTAGTATGTATCCCTTAGCATGCATTCGTTATCCCAGCCTTTCCCGCTCAATCACCCCAAAGACCCCGTGTCGGTACAGGCCAGGCCCAATGCAGACTACAGCGCTGTCGGAATGGAAGGGTTAAGCATCAAGGCCACGGGGCGGAGGAGGGGTGACACTCGGTCGGCTAAACTGGAGAGGCAATTGACTACCTAGGTAGCTCATCTCGTGAAGAGAAGCTGCAGCTGGGATTCAAGTTTCGACAACTGATAAAGCATGCGAATTGAGTGAAAAATGCTATTGTAAATGCCTGAACCTCATGTTGTAAATGATGTCCCATTACATCCATGGATGGGGCGTTCGTTACACACCCTGTGGCAATCAGCCATTAAGGTCCCCAGGCCTACTTTACCGTAGCCCCCACAACAACACCAACAACATACATACTCGGCTTCACCTCAATGCAGATTGATTAGGCTGCCAATACTGACTTTCGCCCCTACCAGTCTAGCTGAAGGTACCTAGGTTTCTTGAACCATTACAGCGGGTTACTTCCCAGCGGGACCCTGCATTTATGACGCTGGCGAGTAATATAAAGATAAGGTGCACGCAGAGCTTGGTGCTTATTATATTCGACCCTAACCCTAAAGGTAAAGCCCTTCTGCAGCCGCACCGCTAAGTTACGTAGGTACTTACATAAACACTATTTCAAACAAAATAAAAAAGAGTATGAAAAAAGAAGTCAAGAAATGCGACTGTGACAAGGTTCGAACTTGTGCCTCCGAAGAGATTAGATAACTCGAATGATCGATTGATATTCAAGTCTAACGCGTTAGACCACTCCGCCACACAGCCAATTTGTTGTAAGGAATCTTTACATAATGACTTATAACTGTCGTAACTCAAAAAAGCGATGTGCCAAGCACTCAAGCTGTCAACGACTTGCGCTACAGAGTAGAGTAATACCGTCGCATACCTGTACCGACGAACTTCATTTTTTGTGAGCGATTCCCAACCATACATGTACAAATGCACATGTGCAAGCAGAGCGGGGCACAGTATCTCAGCATCAACATGTTGCAGGGACAGACGATCTTACCCTTAGCGTCTCGTCTCCCTGCCTTGGAGTGGCTGCTGGTGGCTATGACTGAGCACATACATGCATGCATTCATGCCTTTCCTACTAGAGTTGATCGACATTGCCCGCTGAATTTTTACATGTATGCTCAGCGTATATCTACTATGTAGGTAGACATCATCGGTCAAAGTCATTATTGATCAGGTTAAACGCTTAGCTCGCTACTAGGGCGCTACAATGCCGCCTACATCACTGACCGGTATCACTTCCCAAAGGGACGGAGGCAAAGATATAAGATGGTAATCAGCAGATCAGCACTGACTACCTGGGTACACCCAACTGGACCTGAACACATCCTTGATAACAGATCCACCAGGTTCCAAGGTTACTTTGGACGCGATAAATTGTACGTCCCTGCATACCGGCCTCAGAGTAAGACAGTTGCCGAAGGAGGCGGCTGCGGCCCGTGCTCCACCTATCTGCTCGGACATCTGCTAAAGCATCCGTGCGGCCAAAATCCTAGCCAATGGCATAATACCATTTGACGACGCTCGAAGTCTCCCGACATATCGAGACCGCTCTCTCATCAGTGAGATCATGAGTTATCATGGCAGATGTGTTTCCGTCCGAAGGTATCACAGCCCATTATCAACTAAGCAGCGTCGGGAACACTATGAAATAGCTCACTGTACGTAAACAATGAACAACACGGAGGTTTCTCGATGATCAAGGTGAAGGGTTTTGGTTGTGTATGATCTACCTATTATCTGATAGCCTCTATCCTCGGGTTTCGTTATATATTTCTGCACTTGCATGGGCCACCATACCACACAAGGACCAATTAGTTGAACAGTTGAGACCCCGACCTCAGGAGCCCCCAATCCTAGTGATAAGCACTGTCTCAATCGAACGACAAAAAGAAAAGCAATACCTGCCAGACCGTTCCTCTATGCCATTGGATACGCCGATACCCCGGTATTTGCTAAAGGTGACGATCCTCAAGTACCTGATCAAAGAGTAAAGTTCGTGGATACCGTGCATCACCATGGTTGCTATCAGATGCCAACGGTGAATATCTCGTAAGGTGTCGTTATTCTTCAGGCCGTAAGCATTATCACAGTAACTCCTCGTCCAGATGGGCTGAAGCCTTCCAGATCGATGCTGGCCAAATTGTCCTTATCAGACGTCTCCTCAATCGGCCCAGTATGCTCAGACTTGGAGGACACACTGCTCGGCTCCCCACGTGTCACCGCGTCATTCTCACTGGACTCCGAAGTTGAGGTCTCTATGGATGGAGTGTCCTCCCCAGACTTGAGACTTAGGGTTCCATTCTTGACTATCATGAGGGCTGAGAGCCACATGCACCAATGATTTGGCGCTATACATGAGTATAGAAGAAATTCGATTACCCTCCTAACCATGTAGTCAGGTCTCTCATGTCATACCTAGGTAGTCTCTGACAGACAGCCTTCTCTAGGATACAATACTGTGGGCTCACCCTCTGTAAATTTATCCTTCTCACTCGGGTCACCCATAGGGCCATAGCATAGCCTCCCTTCAATTAGCCTTCTCTAGGATAACTTTTTAACATACTACGTATAGTGGGATATGCCTTTCTAGGACAATAGCGGTTGGAACTCCTCCTGGCTACCAGAGCCTCGAGATCTTTGGTAAGCAGCTCTTGTGACACCCCTCAATACCGTAGATTTTGCTAATTAACTGGGAGAGCGGCTTCTACGATGGCAACATCTGTTATCATATGGGCGTCGCTTCTTACCGCGGATGGCGACAGGCCTAACAAGGAGGTATCTTGGTCTTGGTATGACCTGGGGCCACCATTCTTGTACGGTGCCTTGAATGATGGCGAGGCGCATTCGGGATATATCGCGATGAGTAGCGCCGCAACACGGCTATCATGAGCATTTGAGGGACACCTGCAATAGGCGTGTGAAGATGTGCCCTCATTGCATGGACTATCAGGTCTTCAACAACGCCCCCGGGCCCCCTCGACTTCTATGCCTACTGCGCACATCATCATCGTCGAGAATTCCCCAAACCCCGTGGTTATAATACGACAGCTTCCACAGAACGACGCCCAGCCAGCCGACAATGTCTAATCTGCCGATTACACACAGCCGGCCGACAAGTAGCACCAAACCGTCTCTGTCTGCCTATCTGCATTTAGACTTTTGCAACAATTCCCACAGCCAGTGTGAGATCAAGGCGATCAGCAAAGCCATCGTATATGCTTTCCGGTCCTTCCTTAAAACATTTGGTAATTATCCGAATCTCCTTCTCCCTGTATTTCCAGTATCGGCTCTCAATTGTTTCTATTCGAGTGGTTCTATATCTGAGACAATGCCTTCGCATTCCTCGGACTTATCTTGCTGACCAGCTTGACCCCCATCTCCCTCTACGAACGTTCGGGGCGTTGAAATTGCTCGGTTAGCATCTCGGTCAGGCTATCGGTAACAGGTCCAACAAGCCTCAGTGGTTCCAACCCGTTCAGCCAGACTTGGGTTTCACGCTGCCATCTATCCGTCTCCCTGGAGAGAACGAGCAAGCCTATTGGGATGCTGAGCTTCAGCCTTGTTCTTGCCATTGAGCAGACGGCCAAGTGCAGTGGGGCGAATCAGGCCCAGAAAGTTGTCTTGCTGGTGGTCCTCTGGGTGACCCGAGTGTTCAGGGCCCTCGTTACCAACCAGGACCACGGTGGCTTTTTCCATGGCCCTCCAAAACCCATATACGCCGCCTCCGGATTCTGGCCCTTATCAACCTTATCCCACGTCTCGGGGGCAGCCATGTAGGGGCCTCGATCCAAGATGTGTCCCACTGTCAAGTGATCACCTTAATGGAACCATTGTCAATTGCGACATCCAGATAAGACTTGGAGGTTTATATCACAGGTGATAAGAGGAATCTACCGTTGTCAAGCCCCACGACAGACTTTCTAACAATCGTCGTTGGTGTCGCTACCTGTGGTAGCAGACATGCCATCCCCACCATCCTGAGAAGTAGCAGTGGAGATGACAGGAGTTTGCAGAAGGTGGCCTCAAGTGTGGTTGTCTTGGCGGCGTACTGGTCCAGAAAATAAGTTATGCACCTTTAGTCGTTGCCTCCTCTAGACATTCGCGACTCATATGTGCGTTGATCACATAACCTGTGGACCGATCGTCTTCTGGAAGTTATCTCAAAGGATTATGCTACAGCAGAGGGGAAACTTGAATTTATATATGTGTTACCTATGTATCTGAAATGCACGTGTGGCAATTTTTAGAAACAGCGTGAATAGCGTCCGCGATACATCCACGCCGAGTTTGTCAAAACGATCGTACTCAAAATAGCTATCACATTGTTTATATGAAGTGGTTGCTTTGTTAGATTGATCACATTTTCAGTGAGATCAGTAGAAAGGTGTTGGCGTCTCAGTGAAGGATGTTCGCCGAAGATGTCATCCACCGGTTGTCAGCTTTGCTATATTATAAAGGAAATCACTCAAAGTGGAATATAGACGAGTCTAGGTGTTGCTATCGACTATGGTCTGCTGTTTACGTCCAAGTCTTGCAGTGCTATCTGAGCTCTGGCATTAGTAGTGATTGCATTGTTATTTTCATAAGTTGGGAGTGCTTGGATTAGCACATGAGTGCTGTCAGTCTACGGCCATCGCTTGGGCCGTGCCTTCCTTCGGGCTAACGACTATTACCTAGCCATTTCCTCTCAGAGGACCTAGCCAGAATAGTTAACCAGAACAACAACAAATTGACTGATTAAACCAACAAATATCGTACGTACGAAGACCTACCAACAAGTGCACTGTCAAAGAAACACACAAGCAGTTGACTTGATTCATTCGGCCTCAACGTGGTGGCAAATAGGTAGTAGAATATCACCAAGTCATACATTAGTGAGTATCTACGTACAGCTTCACTATTGCAGGCTCATACTTACCAACGATACCAGACAGTTCAGTAGTAACCACCTGGGCTCTCCAGCTTGAGATGTCCTTGGACCTGATTATGATATCATTATAGCTAACGTACTTCTACAATTAGAAAAACCCTCCTCACGAAGTAGTCCCCTGGACCTGCCCATTTACAGTACCGTCCATGGAAGGGTTGTCATGACCGGTAGCAGCCTTCTCCTTCTCCCACTCCTCGGGCGTCTGGCACTTGGCTGTCCAGGCGTGGATTGCAGCGATCTCCTGCTTCAGGGCGGCGTTGACGGCACGATGCCTCTTGAGTGAGTTCTTCCCGGCGAACTCGGGTGACACTATCAGGGTCGAAAATGCCTGACCACATCCACCTACAAGCGTAATGATGGTCAGAACCGCGCGGGTATATATACTCCAGAGGTAGAGGACTATCGGGCATATATTGGGGGTTGGGGGTAAAGCACGAACCGGACATATCAGTAATGTCAACATGAACGGCGTTGAGCCGCTCGGTGATGGCTGCCTTGAGACTGGCCTCTGATATTGCTGGCTCGGCCATGGCGGTGAGGTTGTTACTGAGTCTAGAAAGAGTTGCGATGACGATATGCAGTCCCGGGGGCTTGTGGAGTCGAGCTTGAGCCAGCTGAGTGCGGCTCTTTTGTGTGGTAGTCGGTCCGTCAGCGAAGGGTTTGGGATGAACTTTTAGAGGTTGTAAAGCTGTCAAACTTAGATATACACGGTATGGGTTGCGACTAGTGGGATAACAGATGCAGAGTTGTCGGGATTGTGAGGACGGTGATGTGCTTGATTGAATGATATCGGCAGAATTGACGAGGTTTTGTGATT